ACAATAGCCAGCCTTTTGTTCCCCTCAATTTGGACTTCTGGAGAGTCTTAGGAGCAGGAATTCTGAGCGGTGTAGGACAGACTGTGAATAGAGACAGCACACAAACGTACACACACACTCATGCTCAGGCATGTCTAAAGTTATCTATGTACATGCTTAGTGCGTGTGTGACACATGTGTGGAGATGAGCCCATACTGCAGCACACACGTGTGGAGGTCAAAGAACCGCTCTCTGGGGTTTCTCCTCCCACCTCTTTGAGGCAGGGTCTCTCCTGCTGTGGCTGCTGTGCTGTGTTCTCCTGGGCAGACAGCCCAGACGCTCCTCCTGTCCTGGCCTCACACCTCCCACGGGATCACAGAAGCCCGCAGCTGCATCAAACATCAGGCCTGCGTGACAAGGGATCTTAACCACGGAGATCTCACTGACCCCTCCGGTAGGTCTGATTGTTTGAGAACATCATGGTTGTACAGACATTGCAAATTGAAAACCAAAATTTATATTGATCTATCTTCGGCCTTCTCCGTAGCCATCCATTGCCCACCTCTGGGTCCGACCTAATATTCTGTCAGCTGGCAGGCATTAACACGACCTCTAGTTTCTAGTCCCCCACAAGCTGTGAGTGTCATCAGGTGTCATCTGAGATTCACAGCAGAGCTTCTGATTGAACCTTCTCCCTGACTGCTTCCTCACTGTTGTATTTGGTTAAGCGCCTGGATTCATGACTTTCTTTCACTCTGTGACCACAAAAGTTCAAGTTGCTGCTTCTACTCATGTATAGTTGGTTACACCTGAGACAGAAGGACCCGTGTTAGCGTTGAGTCTGAAATCAACGATTCCCTCATCCCTCATCGGGAGGATGATAAGTCCTTTCCTACTGGGGTGGGGGTAGGCTGGGAAGACAACAGCAGATAGCTTTATACAGGAGGCAATTTTTTCATTTAGTGTTTAGGCCAGACCTCATAGTGCACAGCTGTAATCCCAGCACACAGGCCACTGAGGCAGGAGGATTTAGAGTTCAAAACGAGCTTGGGCTTCCTAATAAGAACTATATCTAAAGGAAAAAGGAAATGAATAAAAATAGTCCTCTCTTAAAACCCCTGTCTTGCTTTTTCTAGTCTCCTGGCCTCTCCAAGATAGCTTAATGAATAACATTTTGGACAGTCTAGAAATTGAGTTTGGTGACCCCAATCTGTATTCCTGTGTCACTAGTCTCTTGCATTTGACGCTGAATAAACTATTACTTAGTCCCTTTGAGGTGAGACATATAATTTGGTTTTTACGTTTTTATTTATTTTGTGTGTGCATTTGGGTGGGAGGGGCCTGCAGGGGTATGCAGCATGTGCCAGGCCCAGAATGTGAAAGTCCAAGGACACCCTTGTGAATCATCTTTTCCTTCTACCATGTGGATCCCGGGTATTGAACTCAGGTCATTAGGCTTGGCAGCAAGCACTTTTATCTGCTTAGCCATCCTGCTGACCCACAGTTACGTTTTGCAATGTCAGCAAAAATTTCAAGTTGCGTTACTTGACAGTATCGAGTCACGAATGCTGCAAACTTCCCGTGTAGGCACAGTGTAGATAGAGGAGAACACAGGCTGTGAAACCTGGGGATTTCATTTTATGATATACAGCAGAGAAGAGGAAGAATTAAAATTAGCACTTCAATTATTTATTGGCACTATCCTAACTTTGAACAAATCCTTTATGCTCCCCAGGCTCCAGGGTCCGATTTCAACCTCCCTGCTCAACACCAAAGCAATCATAGACAATAGGAGATGACTATGTGCCTGTATTCTAATAAAACGTTGAGAAGTAGGAAAAGGGCCATATTTGCCTAAAGGACTATGTATCTGTTGATTCCAGATTTGGGGGATATAATGTGAAGGTTTTAGTAACTGATTGTCACCAGTCTGTAAACAGATTTAGATTTTAAAATTACGTTTCTTCTCTTTTATTTGTATTTTACCTTTAAGTAATTTTTTATTACTTGCTATCTAACATAAACGCCATGCAAACACAATATTGAGGAAAGAGTGGCAAGAAGGGTGCCTGAGCACTTGCAGTTGTGGGAAGTCCCCTTCCTACACACGTCTGTGCCCCACTTACCCAGATGTATCCCCTCCACACCCAGCAATTCCTCACCCCTTAGCAGCCCCTGTGTACTGTTACTCTCTGCCTGCCTTAGGTTTCTATTGCTGTGGTAAAACACCTCGAACAAAAGCAGCTAGGGGGAGGAGAGAGCTCATTTTGTCTTTCAACTCTCAGGCCACACTGCGTCACTGAGGGAAGTTGAGAAGGAACTGGAGGCAGACACTGAGGCAGAGGCAGTGAAGGGTGCTGCTTACCAGTTTGCTCCTCTTGGCTTGCTCAAACTGTTTTCCTCTAGCACCCAGGACCGCCTTTTCCGGGGGTGGCCCCCCACAGTTTGCTGAACCCTCCCATATCAATCACTAGTTGGTAAAGACATCTCCCAAGCTTGCCTACAGGTCAATCCTATGGAGGTATCTTCTCAGCTGCGAGAAACACTTCCCTAATGGTCTCACTTATGCCAGTTGAGATAAAACTATCCAGGAGCCTCTTTACCCCCCACAACCTCCAAAGCCTCCTTTTTCTTCTCTTCAGCCTCTTGCAAGTTTCCTGGCCTCTGTACGTATGTACCCCCACCTCAAAGCACACAATAACGTAGAAAGTATCAGTCAGACCACTGCAAAGGAGGCTCTGGCATAGGGATTTTAACATTGCTTTGTCCTCGGTAAGCCACGCTTATCTGTTCAAACCTTCGAATTGTTTCTCCAGTCTCCCCAACTCAATTTTTAGACTGCTTGTCCAAAATGCTATTCATTAAAGCTCTTTGGCGAGGCCAGGAGACTAGAAAGAGTTTTAAGGTATTAAAAGGAGGATTGTTTAAAAGGTTTTAAGGGAAGACTTCTTTTATTCACTTCCTTTTTCCTTTGGATATATAAAGTCCAAGCTGGTTTTGAACTCTCAATCCTCCTGCCTCAGTGGCCTGTGTGCTGGGATTACAGCTGTGCACTATGGAGTCTGGCCTAAACACTAAATGAAAAAAATCGTTTCCTGTATGAAGCCGTCTTCTGTTAACTCATCTCCCCCAGTAGGAAAGGACTCATCCTCTTGATGAGGGAATCTTGGATTTCAGCTTCTATACTAACACACATCCTACCGTTTCCAGTTGTAATTAACCATGCACAAGTCTTCTGCCTTCTCACAAACCATGAGGGTATCTTGCCTGTTCTACTCAAACAATAAAATAGATTGCATTGTTGATGGTCTTTAAACACACATTAAAATAAAATAAATTGATTTCTTTGGGGAACTGATTTTTTTCAGGGTTTTATGGGGTGCCACTTAAAAAAAAAGTCTCACTCACACTAGTACATGCCAAAAAAGCAGTGCCCTAAAGCCATGGGAGAGGCGTGTGTGGCAGACTTTTGGCTCGGGACCACAATTCTAGCCCACACTTTGTATTTTAACGAGCAGATATACCACCCACTGCTTAATAATTATACTCTAATTTTCAGATGCTATGCAACTCATAACAAGAAATTCTGAGACTCCAAGCACCCTGTCCTTTATGAGAAAAAGATTAATTGCAAACTATTTTTCTAGGTTGTTTAACCAAATGCAATGTGGTGTGCACTTTTCGTCCTAATAATCCTATGGGGAAGGGGAAGAGAGAACAGAGGTGAAGCTAGAGTATCTGGGAGCTCATGACTCAAATCTTTCCAGAAAAAAAACACAACAAAACACAAAAACTAATAATAAGTCAGACAAATAGTATAACTGGTTTGGACTCTGCCTTTAGTCTCAATAAATATATTTTTACTTTAAAGGAAAAAAATACATAAAGGAATAGAAAGAGAAGATAGAAGATACATAAGAAATATGGATACTTAACTGCATACATACATATAGTTGATGCATGGCAGAGATAATAGATATAGATAGAAAGAAAGAATGATAGATGATATATGACTAATGATAGAGATAGGTAGATGATAGATAAATACATAGATAATTGAGAGGAATTATAATGAGGTGACAGATAGCTGTAACTGGAACTGGAGCCCCTGGGTCTGGCCTCAGAGGCCCAAATTGTATGTACTTTGCTGTATCCTATAAAAGAAAACCATTGATAGAATGGAAGAATCACTCAGAACAGACCCAATTCCCTATCCTTGCTACCTGGCACTACTTACCAGCTTCTACCCATAATCCACCCACCCCCATGAATGATGGGTTTTACTGTTCTGTAGTTTCCTTCAAAGTCTACTTCAAGGCAGTGGGTCTCTCTCTGTAATAGTCAGTTTTGCTGTAGTAACAACACCTCACAGGCCAAACCAACAAATGCATAAAAGTTTATGCTACTGTTATGTGGAAGCTCTGTTGCCACAGCCAGACTGTGGGTCAGTGCCACGTGGAAAGAGGGACTTCATGGCGCAAGGAAGGAGCAAGAGCCCCTGAGGAAACACATAACGCTTTGAGAAACTCACACTCCATTGGCTGATACATACCATAAGGCCAGGTTCAAAGTCAGCAGCAGCAGCAGCAGCAGCAGCAGCAGCAGCGAGAAGTTTGGCTTCCTCCCAGGAAGCAGCACGGGGTGGGTGGAAGTAAGCGTTCTCTCCATGGGGAAACAGGGTGAACGGTCCCAAAGTGACAATCTGCCACCCACCACCCTGTTTTTAATATCCATCTGGACACACGAGCACACGCACGCACGCACACACATGTATGCACGCACACACATGTATGCACGCACGCATGTGCGCGCACACACACACATATGCACGTGTGCATACACACACACACACAAACACACACTGCTCACTCTAGCAGCACTCTTGGTCATTGACCTGACCTGCCTCTGGATTCTCTTGCCTCCATGGCTACAGATGTTCCTTGATGAGTACAAATTAAGAACCTTCAGTTCTTTTTCATTGATTAATTTTGCCATTTGACCACTTCATGCAGATGTGGAATTTATTCTGATTACTCTTTTCCATCACCCTCGCCCTCTGACACACACTCCCCGCCCCCCTTCCCCAGTTTCTTTCTCAGGTTTCTGACCTTGGTTTTTATTTCATGACCAGCCTATGTGAAGCAGGGCCATCTGTGTGACCACTGGGTTGGAATCAGAACTCTCTTTTGGATCTTGACTGGGTCGTGAGTGGATGAACAACTGAGGTAGCGATTCCATCCCTGAGCCTACCAGGAGCAGACGGTTCAGCACCAAGGGGGCAGGACCCCTGTGTCCTCGCACCGTCCCGCCTGATGCTGACTTCCCATTCCTGCACCGAACTTCATGGTTTCGCAGTCCAACCCTTTCCTGTGAGAGAAAAAATGAGACTTCTCACTCACTCTTCGTATAAGAACAGAGTCCTGTAGAGCATGGTCCCTAGAATGAGGAAATGAAAGTCCATTGACTGCTAGACCCCTGGCAACCAAGTTGTGTCAGAACAAAGGAGGATTGTTTGGGGCCTCACGAAAAGCAAAGCACTTACTCCTAAGCCTCGTGGCAAGACCTCAATCATGTAAGGGGTCACTTTCGTCACATGGGGCATGGAGCTGGGACATTGTGATGAAAGGCACAGCTTACCCTTACTTCTCTACATCACCCACTCAGGCAGCTTCTATTCCAGACGTGTACACTATCAGCTCCGTCCCCAAGCAATGTGTATTTCCTGTGCAGAAATGAACGAGAAATAAGAAAGACAGAAAAATGCAGCAGCCTAACCCCTTCAGATATGGTGACCGTGCTCACCCACCACCACCACCTACGACACTCTCCTCATTTCTTGTTAGTTGAAACTGGGTCACTGGATTTTTACTGCAAAGAAATCTGAGGTTAAGTTCTGAATTATGTTTGAGTTTTTTTTTTAATGAAGAGCTATAAGAAGTTGCCAACTTGTAAAAACCATACCCAAAATCCCACAGTAGTATTGACGTGATGCCCTTCAATGACAGCATCTTAGATAGGTAGGTAGCTATTGTAATTATTGAAATTAAGAATTTCATATTCATTAGAATTAGCTGGAGTGCAAGGGTTCGCTAGTTTTAAATATTTATTTTTATCTTGTACGTGTGGGTGTTTTGTCTGAATGAATGTGTGTGCCAAAGGCATACAGAGCCATTAGTAGGTATCTGATCCCCCGGAACGGGAGTTAATAGCAGTTGTGAGTTCTTAGGCAGGTGCTGGCAACTGCAGTCAGGTCCTCCCCAAGAGCAGCCAGTGCTCTTAACCACTGAGCCATCTCTCCAGCCCCTGACTTCACCAGTTCAGCCTTATTTTCAAATGTTTATATCTGCATGCCTAAGTCTTCTTGTATTTGATCCCTGGTTTGGAGTCATAGAATCCAGGTTGAAATTATTCTATTGTTCTATTGTTGTTGTTCTTGATGTTTGATTTTTTTTGCGTACATTGAAGCTCTGAACAAAATCGAGGATGCTGCTAAGATAAAGGGGGGTGGATTTGGGAAGCAGTATCCACCGCAAATAGCTCTTGTTTTAAAGAGAGAGAATTCTCCGTGATCCTGGAGGCAGGGATAGATCCAGCCACCCCATCCTTCCTTCTACCACACATGCCTTTTGTTCTTCAGGAATCTCTCAAACAAATACTGCATGGTGTGGTTTATCTCATCTTGCAAGGCTGCAACGGCCCCATTGAGATATGGAATTTATGATCTCAAAAAATAGCAAATCTCCGTGTGAGTTCAGTCCCACTGAAATCACCCAAGAGACTTATGAAAGAACAAAGGGTTTTTGTTGTTATTGTTCTAGTGAGAAGAACTCGCTGCCACAGAACCAAAAGGCAGCAATGTATAGGAGAAATGGAAAACCCAGCGGTCTCAAATCGTATGCTGTTTAGACAGGGCATTGGGGATTCGAATGATCTCTTAAGGAGAGATCCAATTGACATTTTTCACACCAGTTCCACAAATCCCCTGAACAAAATCTAGCAGCTTCCTTACTGTGGGACCTGAGGAATATACCATCCCATTGTTTAACAGGAAATTCTCAAAATCTGTAATGAGGAGAAGCAGAGATGAAGATGCATGTAGAGACTAGTAATAAAGCAATATGTGCGTGTGTGTGCATATGTGTGTGTTCTTGCGTGTGTGTGTGTGTGTGTGTGTTCAGAAAGTACAAATGCATCTTCAAAATAGCATCACTTATTAAATTCACTTGTTCTATCAAAACAAGGGCAAGCTTGACGGGGTTGATTGATTGGTGAGTAATATGGGCAATCTCATTATAGTCTAATAGGTTATAGAAGATTGGTTCTCCCTATAATTATTACCTAATGATGAGTCTATGGCAAACAAAACCATTACAATCAGCTGTTCAGACCTGAGATAATGACACCAGCCCAAGCGACAGAAAAAATTACCTGCACGCGTTTGCTGAATATTGTTATCCAGCAGCATCAGGCGACTGCAGAAGGATGTCTTCTGAGTAATGTGGTGGCCAGTGTCTTGGCTGTAACTAGAAGAAAATGATGGTGAACTCTCCATCCTCCTTCTATTGGGAGGCAGAGTCAAAGCGCCCTTCAGCTTGGAACTATGCTGACACAGTAGAGTGCAGAGAAAGGTATGCTCTAGAATTTCTAAGGATAGACCTTAGGATACCTTGCCGTTCCCACCCAAGTCTTTTGGGTACAAGCCTCAGGAAATCAGTTTCTGTATGAGAAGCCTGGGGCCCAGGGGCTGGCTTGGTGAACGACAAGCATTTCACAGGTTAGTCTTTCCTGCCAGCCCTCCCGAGACACTAGACATGTAAATAAAGCCTTCTTGGTCTCCTCAGCCCAGGCTGGCCCCTGGCTAAGAACCAGCGGAGGACCCTGTCAGTGCTGTGTGGCAGAAGTTCCCCACGTTCACCCTGCCATGTTCTGACCCACACAGAGAAGAACTTATACTTCCCAAAGCCACCCAAGCCAGGCCTAATTGTTACATAACGTATTGAACCCTAAATTGCTCGTACCTAGTTTAAACTAGGTATATGTGGCTCCGTTCAGAAGAACAAACACATTTGTAGCACCTTCTGGGAGCACAGCAGAGTCCTAAGTAACAGGCATGCTTCTTAGGAAAGTCACCAAGCAAGTGTCCCATTGTGGTGGTCATCTCTCTAAAGGAGAACTGTGCAGATAGTTGGCTATGTTCACCAAGGTAAGCGGTGAAGATCAGGGCTGGGCTCCAGAGCCAGGCCTGACTCCAGAGCCTGTGCTCCTCCGAACACCTGCATTAATAATCATAGCAGCTGTTTGTGAAGTCGGGTTTCAAAGTCTGGTGAGGAGGAGCGAGTCCGTAATCCCAGCACGTGGCGGTGGGTGCCAGCGCCAGGCGTTGCTAGGGAGAGTCTGAGATCACTCTGGGTTCCATGAAACCCTGCCTCAGAACTCTGATGTTATCCACTCCGCCTTTTAAAGGCAGATCAGTGTGCTTCCCGTCCAGGTGGCTGTCACCGCTGGCATCTGCTCTCTCCAGCCCCACCTGGGACCGTGTTCATGAGATTCTTGGGGACCAGATGCAGTGTTAGGGAGCTCCTGAGGAGGGGACTCGGGTCACACCGCACAATCTTTATAAGGATACTCTGGGGCAGATTCTCTTCTGAGAACGGTGTCGGGATCGGTTACTGTGGTTCTGGACTGCTTGGCCGTGAACGTCACTACCTCCTCCGTCTAAGCGCAGCAGACACTCGGCTCCAGGCCTTGGCGATTCGGCTTGTGCTTTCTGTTTTCCTTTACCCAAACACTTTTATGCTCCAAACTTTGCGTGTTTGTTTGATTTTGTTTTAATTATTTCAGTGTAATTTGTCTGTCATTTCGTAAAATCCTGTAACATTTTCTAAACATGCATTAGAGGGAAGCAAGGTATATAATAAGCTATTAATAAAAGGTCTTGGCTTGCTGCCAAGCCTGATGACCTGAGCTTGACCCCTTAGAACCCACGTGGTAAAAGGAAAGAATGACTCCCCCGAGTTAGACTTCCATCTAACATGCTTTGGTGCCTTCTCTCTCTCTCTCTCTCTCTCTCTCTCTCTCTCTCTCTCTCTCTCTCTCTCTCTCTCTCTCTCTCTCTCCTCCTCCTCCTCCTCCTCCTCCTCCTCCTCCTCCTCATCTCTTTCCTACTCACATAAATAAATAAATAACAGTTCTTAAAAAGAAAATGAAATGATGCCTAGGCTATGAACTCAGTCAATGCTAGAACTCTTGCTGAAGATACGCAAAACAAGCCCTGAGTTCAATTTGAAGTACCGGTATAAATAGAGCAAAAACACACCTGCTATCAAGACTGCTTTAAGGGTGGCCTAAGCCATGAACAGTCCTGGCAATGGGGACAGGAGGATCATAAGGTCAAAGCCAGCTGAGTTACAGAGAGATTTAAACCAAGGGCCGAGGCTGTGACTCAATGGTAGAGCGTCTATACTGTGTGCTAGGCTCTGCGTCTTATCACATAGTACAGAAGAATAAGAGATAGTTTTGAGTGCTTGCACAAACTACACATAGCTTATCTTTAGGTATTGTTGTGTTGAATCTCTCTGTGTATGTGTGCAAGCTGTGTGTGTTTGTGTACAAATTATACCATAGAAACAAAGTCATGTCCGCTTGGAAAATAAGTCAAGCTTCAGAACTGTATAGTACTTTAAAATAAATCATAGCTGGGCATAGGCGCACACCCCCATAGTCTCAGCACTAGGCAGGTGGCGGGCAGTAGAGACCAGGAGTTCCAGGTCCTTCTAGGCTACTCTGTGAGTCCTAAGCCAGCTGGGGCTACATGAGATGCTCCTCAAAAACCAAAAGAAGAGGAAAATGGAGGGAGACTTAAACGAAGTAGAAAAAAAAAACGGTTTTTAAAAGCAGCACCAATTAGTGTTATCACAGGTGAACAAGGCAGAACACTGACCTAAGGAAAGATGGAATTAAGGCCACAGATCCTTCCCCAATGCCACCATAGCACAGCTGAGGTGGTAAATGGCCCTCTCTCGGTCCTTGCCTGGATGGATGGTGAGGTGACAGTCACTCCCTTACGGGCTGCAGTGCAGAAAGCTCAGGCAGGTGGCTCACATGATAATAGCTCTCTTGCTGCTTCTGCCACAGAGGAAACTCCTTCCCACAGACCCTGCAAGGCTTCTTACATTATCAGGTTCCCTGGATCTGGTGGCTGGGCCGCCATTTTCTTATAAGCTACAATAGTCAGGGAGATGACCAAAGATCCAGATAAAAGGACGAGGAGTGGAGAGATGGCTCGGTAGCTAAAGGCATATGACCCCACACCAGATGACCCGGTGACCAGAGTTTGATTCTTGGGTCCTGTGTGGAGGAAGGGGAAATGACATCTTATCAAGTTGTCCTCTTAACCTCCACAGATGTGTGCACCAAGATATGCGCCCCACTCGATAAAAATTAGAATAATTTATTTGTGTTATTTTAAGTTAGATGTGTGTATGTGTATGTGAGTGCAGGCATCTCCAGAGGTACTGGATGCCCTGGAGTTGGAGTTACGGGACATTGTGAGTCACCTTGTGGGTTGCTGGGAACAGAACTCAGCTCCGTTAAGAAGAGTAAGTACTCAGAACTGCTGAGCTGTCCCTCCAGTTCCTAAGGGGAAAGAGGGAGGGTGGAGATATTACAAAGGAAAATGATGACACTGGGTCTCTCAAGTTATGCTCTTCTCCTCCCCTAGGCCCCTGCCCTTCCCAGATGCCTCTGAAGGTTCCATCCCGTCTCTGAAACAGTACTCCACTCCTGGTTTCTCTTGGCTCTTGTCCACAAATGTAAAGTCCAAGTCCAGATACGCATTGAGAGTGTTCTATATAAATTACCTCGTGGTCCCTGCCAGGAAGATTTTCTTCCTTCCGTCAATGAGGCAATAGTTTATAATTCTTCCAACCGCCTGATGCAGGCTCCCATCCAATGAGGAATTAAAGAAAACAGCTGAACAAAGAAGCCCAGGACTTTGCACACAGTTGCAATTCTGGTTTGCCTTGGTTGGATTTTAGCACTGTGACACAGACTGACTTCCAAGGGTGGGGGTTTTCAGCATAGTTCTTGTGCCTGCAAAGTGTCTGGGGACATTCTTTTGCAGTAATAATCTCCCTCTCCGGTAATGAGATTGCTTCTAGGAACTAAACCAGGAAGTTCTTATGAAAATTATAGCTCTTTTTCATTGATCCCAATAAATAAGGAAAAACCCGCAGGTTAATTAAGCACATGTGCATTTGTTTCTATATGGTATTGATTTCAACTCAGAATTCAAGGGCACCTATCACAGAAGAAAGGTTGGGAGCCAGGTTGAGACCTTCTTCTGGAAGGGTTTAACTCATTACTCTACGTAGTCACCTCCAGTTTTAATTGCTCTTAACAAACAAAACAAATATGTCTGTCGTGCTTGGCAGAGTGGAGCTAGAGAATGCTCAGCCATGAACTTTCAGCACTTTCTTTTCTCTTGTGGTCATTCCTGCTGAGACTTCACTAAACTTGTCCAAGTCCCCTTTTCATTATGATGGGCCCAAAGAATAAGACCCTGGGTTCCCTGCACAGAGGGAATTCCCTAGGACCCAGTGTGGTAACCAAGAGGGACGCTGTATTAAAATTTTCATTACATTTGTTTATGTGTGTGAGCACTCATGGCCAGGGCATGCATGAAGAGGTCAGCTTACTGGAATTGTTCTTGCCCTCTGGTGAGGGTCAGGAATGAGTTCAGGTCGCCAGGCTTGGCAGAAAACGCCTTTTCACTGACCCATCTCTCTGGCCCAAGAGGAATAGTTTCAGTGATGAACAAAATAAGACTTCTCTTCCAGCTCCCAAGCTCTCAACTCCACCTTCTCTTGGTTCCTCGCTTTCTTCTTTTCCTTCTTAACGTAATTACTTTGAATTTCTTATTAATACTTAAGGTCTCTGTAAGCATCCCTGTCGGATCCCGTTTTGAGCATCTGAAAGGAATGCCAAGGCATTGAGGAAGGAACTAAAGTGGGCTCAGAGGCGAGCGGCCTTCCATGCAAAAACAATAAAATATTAGCAAGTAATCGGGCTAATTACACGGGAAGCCTTGGCATCAGAAACCACCCCAAAATGCAAGCACCAGTGACCATTTATAGCTCAGCCCCTCTTTGACGGCAACGGTGAATAGAGCGCTTGACTCGAAAGGGCTCTCTGCTGTTTTTGTTGCTCTGCCTCTGTCCAGTTGGGGATTTCCATTTGCTTCATTTCCACTTCGAATTCCTGTTTATGTCTTAACGGAAAAAAAAGCCAAGCTGATCCTAAGTGGGCCTCAAAGTCACGCTGGGGAGTGGAGACAGTTGATAAAGGTAATCCCCCCTTTCTCCCAGCCTGGTGGATGAAGGCTGAGTAGATTAAGCAGCTCTGAACCAAACCAACAATGGTCTATGAAAGGCCAAGCTGTGAGCTTGGCATCAGGGCAGAAAACACTTCTGGAACCACTGCCTGAGGAAGGGAGTCAGACTCTTCACCCCTCCCCATCTTTTTTTGTTTTTTTCTAACAAGGATCAGATCACATTGGATACCTAAAAATTAGTCAGGCCTGATGCTACACACCTGTAATCCCAGCACTGGGGTGGAGGCCTGAGGACCGGAGTCCACTGACGTGGAACTCACTAAGTGTAGGCTGGCTGACTAGAGAGCCCCACAGACCTTCCCTTCTCCCCATTACCAGCTATGTATGGTGCCACCGCGTCTGACTTTTTAAACTTCTCTTCCGGGCATGTGACTATGGCCTTGCAAGCACTTTGCCCACTGATTGTTGCCACCCAGGCCTGAAATGCCTTCCTCTTTTCCAAAACAAATCCGACTTTGGTGCTGACCTTCACACCATCCCCATCGTGTGATTACATATATAATATACCCAATTGGGAGGAGGACACATTCAGGCCACAGCAATAGACACACAGAAAATTAGAGTGCCTTTTCTAGTTAATTACATTTCTTATTCTTCGTGCAAGTTAAGAAAAATACCAGGTAGACAACCTGACCCCAAACCTCTGAACCCATCTCCATAAACTCATTTTTGGAGAAGCCGATGGCCCATGGAAACTTAGAAAATCCCTGTCCCTAAGTTCTGCTGAGTGTGCTTTCCTTTGAAGAGAAGACGCACTACTCCAATGACTTCAGTCTGGAAATCCGTAGTTGTTGTGTTTAATTTCATTCTATGCATATGGGTGTTTTGCTTGTAAATGTATGTATACCACATGAATGCAGTACCTGCAGAGGCCAGAAGAGGGCATTGAATTCCCTGAGGACTGGAGTTACAGATGGCTTTGAGCTGACATGTGGGTGCTGGGAATTGAACTCAGGTCCTCTAGGAGAGCAGCCAGTGCTCTTAACTGCTGAAACATTCCATAGTGTTCTCATGTCTGTTTATATTTCTTCAAAGGTCCCAGAAAGGATCATATCTTGGAGAAATGAAGCTATGAGTAGTTTTCTGAGTTACTAAAAATAGAATTTTTAAAATCTCTGCTGCACATCCTTTTTTTTGACAGATATTTCATAACTATTTCTGTTGCTTCTGGTGAATGAGGCTTTCTTATAATTAAAATGAATAAAGTATATTTTAAACCAAATACCTGTGCTTATTCAGAATATGTGAAAATAAACCTTTAGGAGGTCATTGACTGCAGATATATTAAGTCTTGAAAACAAGCTAGAGCTATAAGTGATGGCTACTGACAGACTGTCAAGTCTCTGTTCAAGGCCTTGCTCTTCTAAGCTATCTGGTTGTTTTCTGTCTGTCTGTCTGTCTGTCTGTCTGTGGTAGTGGAAGTTTTGAGGCAAACACTCATGTATGCCAGGTTACCATGATTACATCATGAGAATGGGACTCAAGATACAGTTAATTGAATATACACAATGCTTACACAGCCAAGGATGAGCCTGAACTCCTAATCCTCCTGCTTCCATCTCCCCGGTGCTGGAGTTACAGGTGTATGTCACTGTGCCTGGATTTATTTCATATTTTCTTCTGACCATTTTTACTATTAAGAGGTTTTCTGTAAGATCCATAGTAAACAATTTTATTCTCATATATATACAATTAAGTATATGCTGGGTGAGTGTGGCAGCCTGCCCTTCTTTCTAACACTTGGAAACTGAGACTTGGAGCAGACTGCCCAGTTAGGCTAGCCTGAGACCCTGACCCTCAGTGAATAAGATGGAGAAAATTTGAGAAAGAATCCAGATGTCAACCTCAGGACTTTACATGCGTATTCACACCTGTTCACCTACACACATGTGAATATACATATACACAGGCATGCACACACACACACACACACAAAGGGATGTTGGCATTGGCATTGGCTCTGGATGTCAATTTTGCTAGGTCTTCCATATTATAAAATACTACCTGAACCTCTCATTGGATCCCATGATTGGCAGACCTGGAAGCAAGTTTTCTTTCCACATTCTCTCATCTGCATGGCTGTGGGCCGAACACTGCACCTCAAATGTGTTAGGCCAGGGCTCTGTCATTGGGCTATACCCCAGTTCCAGGCATACTAGGTTGTCAACAACCCTGCATCTGGCTGGATTTTGTGTCTATAACAGAATTCTCTGCATTGTGAAGCTTCCCTTCAGTTCCCTACTCCTGGATATCTGGAGTAGTTCTCAGTTGGTCTCTTAGTGATCTGTCCTCAAACAGCTGTCTTGGGTGAGTGCTTAGCCTTGCCCAGTGACACAAGTTCCTGTAATGCAGGGATTATACCATAACTAATTTCTGAAATGTTTGGGTACTACATAAGTTACATTGAATGAATGACTAGAAAATTGAATAGTAGGATGCTGTTCTTGATGATCAACATTTTATAAATACAGAAGATGTGTCATCCTATTACGTTAAATAGATAATGTGAACACCGTTGATACGACTTTAAAAACAAGTCTTGCCTGTGTGACTATCAGGAAATCTGGACAAAGACCTGGGAAATCCTGAGATAACCAATCGGTGGCATAGAAGCGCCTGTCATCTCACCAGCACCCAAATCAAACACAGCACACTTCCCTACCTTTTGCTTCTCCGTGATAACTTTAGGGAGTTGGCTTCGTTAGTTTGATGATTACCTGCTATTTTGAGATAGGATTTCATCTCACTGTGTGGCCTGGTGGTTTAGTTTTATTCTCTTGCAGTTGTATGATACCCATCAACAACAACAACAACAAAATCAGTGTACAGGGGGAAATGATTTAGCTTACATTTCCATGCTACAACTGATGACTGCAGAGAAATCACAACGGCAGGAGCTAGAAGCAGGTCTCATACATGTGCCTGTGGGCAAGACAGCAATCTTGGCTTCAGTCTTCCAGCACTGTCCATTATCCTTCTATTTTGAAACACAGTCTCTCTCAGTGTTTGCTGGATAGCCTAGGCTGGGTGGCCAGGTAGCGTCAGGAATCGCATCTCTGCTCCCCTAGGACTTAGAGAACAAGCACACACATCTGTATCCAGCTGTTTCTTTTTCCATTTTTAAGTAGGTTCTGAGGATCGAACGTAGATCATTCAGTGTTACTGACTGAGCTATCTCTTAACCCGTTCTTCTTTTTCCTCTCACAATGAGAATATGTTGTACAAAGTTCACTGTGAAAATAAAAAAACCACCTTTCTATTGGGATTTCAAGTTCAAACACGTTTTTAGCTGAAGTCCTCTTAACCCCGCTTCTATGGAACTGCTAGGCTCGCTCCCTAAAGGGTGTTCCAGTCTCCTTCCATCCAGGAGGCACCCACTGTGTTTGTGTTCTTGTTGGAGACTGCATGCTCAGAAAGAGAGGAGGCCAGCAGCAGGGGCAGAAACCAATCTCTGGGAACAGAATGAACGGCAGACAAGAATTTCAGGAAACATTTTTTTCCAGTGTCAGAAAAGAAGCACTTAGGGTTCTGATTGTGCATTGAGGCCCCCAAAACATTTAATTATGATGTCTGAAGACAGTAATAGATATGGGGGGCTCCTTGACGACCATGCAGCAGACACCCTCCAGAAACACACGTAAGAGCAAGAGCAGGGTTCCCCCATCTCTTGCGCCTGTGTACTCGGTCAACCAGCCACACATATCTGTCAGGGGTCAACCACCACCAAGGTCAGGAGAATGGAGACTCTACTTTGGTAAATCTCACTTCACATCCTGGCTCTGCTGTATTCAGTGGAGACACTAAAACTTATTCTTGTTTTCAGATTCAGGTTCCCTCTTGAAAAAAATAAGGCTATGTAATACTTTGTTGAGATGGACATTGCACAGGAAACCCTTCTAGGGCTGGGCAGAGCCTGCCTGGGTCACAGCACTCATGGATATTATTGGGAGTTCTGGTAGCACAGCTGGTATAGCTTGCCTGAATCCTACTGTGTCAGAAGCCCGGCTGAGAACTCAAACTGCTGGGCCGACTTGAGCGGCTGGAAAGCCAAGATTATTCAAACTTCAGTTCCTTTGTGTCTGGCACCTGGGACAGAATGACTCTGCTGACACTTTGATGTCACATACCATGTGCCCTAAGAGCTTCACCATGGGGTTTTCACCCAGGTATCTCCAAAGCACTGATCTGAGAGTAAATGGACTTCTTCCCCCAGTGACTGGAATGCTCAGCCCTGACTCTTCCTCAACACAGCCCAACCTTGCTCCTGCCCACCCAGATGTATATATCCCACTGTCCCCAGGAAGCCATGAAAATGAGTTCCTAACACAGGGACACCCCATGGGATCGGGCAGGAGTTCATGCCAGCTGGTGCCATGCCTGTGGTGAGCTTTCTCCTTTTTCTCATAATGTTGCCCCAAGTCCATTTCTGCTGTGAGTTCTTCCTCTATAAATTATATGGACACTCTCCTTGGTGAACCCACCTACGAAAATCCCTGAAAGCGCGGTGAACCCATGGGTGGTGCCTTCCTGGCTCTGCCGTTCAAGCCCTGCACTCCAGAATAATCCTCTGTGCTCAAGGGACGTCCAAATGAAGTTCATTGTTGTTTACACTCTGAAGGCTCCTAGGGAGTTGTGTAGAAGTCACTGGGCTTGAACTGGAAGGTGCCTGAGAAAAATTACATAGCATAAGCTAAATACAATGGACAGCTAGCTGGTGATTGCTAGTCTAAGACAGAGCGAAGGACAGGGAAGGACAAAGTGTGCTTCTGATGTAGATGCCTCTGACGGTTTGCTAAGTCTGTGTTTCTTTGAAGTCTTATTTGCCTCAAGGACTGCAGGAAATTAGGCCAAGCCAGTGAGATCCACACCCACGGAAGAAGATGTAAGGCCACTGGGAGACATAATGGGTGGACGGACACAGTTCAAGCCAAATGCACCCACACCACTGCCAGCATCGCATGTTACCATGAGTTCTTTTCACAAATTAGTTGGGATACAGAATTTGAGGACTTGACATTGATTGGGTTTAAGAAGTTACGGCATATGTCTCCATAGGGGAATATCTGAAGCTGTGGTGACCGATATAGTAGCCATTTATCCCAGGCCACTACTGAGCCCCTGAGACAAGACTAGGATGAAGCGACTATGTACAATAAATCTATAAATGAAAATGTACAATGAAAACCATAGGGTATGGTGGGACACACCTTAAATCCCAGCACTCCTGGAACAGGTATGCAGGTCTCTGGAGAGTTCCAGGTCAGCCTGATTTACAAAGTTGAGTTCCAGGATATTCAAGGACATGCAGCAAGATCCTGTCTCAGAAACAAACAGGTGACTACAAAGATGACTCACTTAGTGCTCTTGGGGAAGACCTGGGCTTGGTTCCCAGCAACCATCTGCAACTCCAGTTCCCAGGGGATCCAGTGATTTGACCTCTGCAGGCTCCTGTACACACATGGTGCGCATTCATACATGCACACAGAATAAAACTTAAACATTTAAAAACACAAAACCAAACAATCAAGCAAACAAAAATTCAAGGACTTACTACAAAGAAAATGTAAAGTGATAGCTTTATGCTGATTGTGTACTAAAATGGCATTTGAATAGTTTAAGTGAGACGCCACTTCTTAAATCAGTCGTATTTCTTTAAACATGGCTATTAGATTGCAAATACAAAAGGTTAGTGACCTTTTGACCTCATCCTTCTGTAATATTTTTCTCCTTGCCTGACCAAAAGGCATCTGAGGAAGGAAGGGTGTGTTTTGGCTCATAGTTAAAGATGGTACAGTCCATTACAGCCAGGAAGGTGTGGCTGCATCTACAGTCCGGAAACAGAAGACGTAAAGTGGGCTGGGCTAGAAGACCTCTGTTCTTACCTTGTTGCTCCTCAAGAGGACCTGAGTTTGATTCCAAGCACTCACACTTACAACCACCATAGCTCTCAGGGATCTGACCACACCCCATCCCCCCCGCCTGCCTCCAGCAGCTTCTGCACATGTATGACACACATATGAACATGCACATAAATAAAAAGTAAAAATACGTCATTGAAAGAGTCACAGCCTTCCATATCAGTTCCATCAGCTGGATGCCAAGCCTTCAAACCCTGGACTCTGGGGGCCATTTCACATTGAAAAACCTCTTCCTTTTCTTCTCTCCTAGACCCCAATGAGATAGGACTCGGAATGACAGGAGTTTGTGACATCCAAGAGCAGCCAGACTGACTGTGACGGGTGAAGTTCTAAGCTTGTTTCATCTGAGAGAAAGTTTGTTTTGCCTTCATATTTCCTTAACCAATAAAGGAAAACAACCAAACCCTTCAAGACCCTGAATCTATGGCAAGCATAGAGTTCTACGATGAGTCATCAGAGATGCACAAAATGAAGGGGACAGGGTCAAAGGAGAGTGAGCTAGAGGTCGGGAAAGAGTCATCTCATCAACGCCTGTCCCAACATCCATCGAGGAGCAAGCTGGCCTAACAACCACTGCTCAGTAGGTCCTGCAGAGGCACTGTATTAATGTTTCCATCCCGATAACAAATACTAATGATCAACACAAAAAGAAAAAAAGGTTGGTTGATTGGTTTGTTTGTTTCTCAAGGTTTTGAAAGTTTATGGCCAGATAAGCTCCTTGTTAGGGCCTGAGGCAACACAGCACATCACAACGGAAATATGTGACCAGAAAAACTGCTCATCTCCTGGCCAAGATGCAAAGGAGAAGGAAGAGGCTGCAACCCCTTCACATGCAATGACCTCACTTCTTCTAAGGTCGTCCCAATAGTACTTACTCTTCTGGAGACCAACTGTGTTAGATAGATTTTTTTTTGTCAAAGTAACACAAGCTGGGAAGAGGGAATCCCACTTGAGCTAATGTCTCTTACTGATTGGCCTGCAGACTGCAAGTCTGTGGGGCATTGCCCTGATAAATTGCTAATGTGGGAGGGTCCAGCTCACTGGGGTCAATGTCTCCCCTTGGCAGTCTTGGATTGTATAAGAAAGCAAAGTGAGCAAGCCATGAGGACCAAGCCAGTAATCAATGTTCCTTCTTGGCCTCTGCTTAAATTCCAACCTCCGGGTTCCTGCCTTGAGTACCTGCCCTGGCTTCCCTGAGTGATGGACTGTGATCAGGACAAGGCAAAGAGTTCCTTTCCTGCCCAGGTAGCTTTTGGTCATGCGTTTGTCACAGCAATACATCAACCCTTTATAACAACACATGACCTTTGGATGACCTTCAGGATGTGGATGACAGCTGACACCTGGAAATTACAGAGGAGACGAACCCCCTTTGTGAGCAGGCCTCCTATTCCACTCTGGGATTGTTTTCTCTCATTCTCTCTTCTTTCTCTTGCTCTGCCATTGATCTATGGTTTTTGTTTGCTCAGATGTTTGTGTGTGTGTACTGCCTGCCCTGGAACTCACTGTGTAGTCCATTCTGGCCTTGAAACTCACAGAGATCCTCCTGCCTCTGACTACCAAATGAAAGCTGTGATTAAAGGAGTGTGCCACCATGCTCTGCCAAACTTACCATTGTTTTGAAGACTTATGCAGTCATCCATTCTTGCTGTTAAGGCCAAAGTAGAAACATCACGGATCAAAACACCTAAGTTTCCATGAAGTCATTTGCCTACCACATTCGAATGAGACCAAGCTTATGGTGATGCTTTGATGACAAAGGGCTGTTTACCTACAAAAAGAGTTCAGTCAAGATTTCATGAGAGCTGGATAGGCCAGGGTGGGGGGAGGTGATAGGAAAAGTCCTTCTGTGTATATATTTGCCTTATTGATTGATAAATAAAGCACTGTTGGCCAACAGAGAAGCAAGATATGTGGACTATAAGTCAGGGAGGATTCTGGGAAACAGAGGCACAGTCAGTCACCAGAGGAGTAAGAGGTCCAGACCCTTTCTCCAGTAAGAGAAGACCATGTGGAAATACTCAGATTAGCAGTTATGGATTAATAATTAAGTCAGAGCTAGCCAACAAAAAACCATAGGAAATGGCCAACAGCTTTATAATTGATATAGCACCCTGCGTGTTCATTTGGGACTGACTCAGCTCTGGGACCAAGCTGGCCGGAAGAATGCTCATTACAAAATGGTGCCCAACATTGGTTGCATGAATTTCCATGTAAACTTGAAAAAAGCTTAAAAAGGGGATTTTAAAAACAAAAGAACAGAGCATGGCTTCTTGGTAGCAGCATTTCCTCAGGTGGGCTCTGTTTGGCTAGAGACAAGCAGAGACTTGCGCAGCCAGTGCTGGTGGTAACCTTATGCACCTTTCTGTGTTGGAAAGTCAGAGGCTAAAAATTTTAACAATGTTGTTTAGCACATAAAAGACACGTGGCCAGAAAAACATAAAGATTTACAGTTAAGTCAGATTCAGATGAAGTAAAAGATCTAAAAGGTGTACAGTGTGTTTAAAATATATATGCAGGCTTGGGAGAAAAAAGAAACAGGAAAGTGGTGAAAGAAATAGAGAAGCCAGGCGTTGGTGGCGCACGCCTTTGACCCCAGCACTGAGGAGGCAAAGGCAAGCGGACCTCTGTGATTTCAAGGCCAGCCTGGTCTACAGAGGGAGTTCAAGCACAGCCAAAGTACACAGAGAAACCCTGTCTCAAAAAAGTAAAATTAAAAGATATAGAGTAATAAAGCCACATAAAGATGGAAAATACGCAGAGAGTCTGGATACTGTATGCTATTGTGTTGTATTTGAATTGTTTAATTGCTGTGGAAGGAGCAACAACTGCTAAAAGACATTTGATTATAAATGCTGCTGAATTAATCCAACTTACATATTTTAACAATGCTTTGACTTCTAAATTTAAATATAAGGACAGGTTACTTGGGAAAGGAGTTTTTGCTTTTGTTTCCACAGAAAATGAAAAGCTGTGGACTTCTTCCATACTTATATGGTTTGATGAAGCAAGACCCCCTGAAACAGTGTCCCCGGCAACCCAACATCTAAAGCAGCTGAGACCATGCAGTCAGGCAGACAACAAAAACAAGGGCCTGGCCAGATTCCTAAGTTTTGTCATGATCCCTATGGTGTGGACAGCGGCCCCAACCAGCAGCAGCTCTGGGACCAGGCTGGCTGGAAGAATGCTCATTACAGGTAGGGACTGTCACTGTGCAGGAAAGATCTCCTATGGCAATCTCATGGGCATGGACCCACTTCCAGCCTCACAGGGTACTGTTTGCACTTTGGTCTCGCTAGCCTTTGAACACCATGTGGAATGTGGATTCAGATTTCAGCCAGAATATAGCAGTTACCCCTCCACTCCTTCATCTCCAGAAAACATCTCACATTCTCCAGGACCACACCCACCTCTTAGACTGAGTTTAAGTTTTCCTTGATTCTTGAGATCTTTCCAGAACCTTGACAGAAAGTTTCCCTGGATTCATTCATTAAGCCATCCATTCATCTGACAAATACAGTATCGAGATCATAAGAATTTAACCTTCCAGCTAGGTGTGGTGGCTTGCATTTTAATCCCAGCCCGTGGGAAGCAGAGGTGGCCACATCTTTATTATAACTGAGACTCAAGAGCTGTATGATTCAAGGTCCCTCATTAGATTGGAGGGTCATGGTGCCAAAATCCTGGCCTTTGCTTATGAAAGATGTGTGTCTCATTTGCCTGCAATCTGAGAGATGTGTATCTGTGTGTGATGATGGTTTGATTGATAATTAAGAGAGAACTAATCATACATGCACAGCATTTCTTATGTTGGGAATGTAGACTGGTGTGAAATTTAGCATGGCAGAAGTACAGTGTGAGCTTTCACACGCAAAGGACTTTACTGTGTAGTTAAGTATTCTAGTCACTGTGTGAGATGGAGAACCCAGCTTGGTTACTCTCATAAGAATGGAGTGATTCATGCTGCTGAAGAGATCCACCTTTAGGTTTGATCCAAAAGTCCCTGGCATCCTCAATTCTCATTTTCCTGTAGATCTCTCTTTTTCTCTCCTTTGTATGTTTCCTCGTGCCCAGTCTGGCTTCCCTCATAGGTAGACAGGGCTTCTGGGCATCTGTACCTCCTTCATTTCAAGGTAGGAGAGATGACTTTTATACCAGATATCAGTGAAAACCCAAAATTCCACTCTGATTGTTAGCGTTCAGCATGTTAGCTCCTTGAACTGCAGAAGAAAGGTGGGTTACCTTGGTTAACACGAGCCAACTGCTGGGTCTGGCACCTCAGGTGCAGTTACTCCTGTTTAAACATTATCTCCCATATCCATGGGGCAAAGCAAATGATTGAGGGCCTCCAGAACGCCGCTGCCAAAGAAGAGGGGACAGTCTGTCTCGAGCTCTGTCACCCACTTGCCTTGTATCGTGTACATTTATATGAAACCTTGAAAATAACATAGATAGTAGACGGGAAGAACTCACAGGTTGGGTTGAATGAATTAACCCACAAGGTAATTACAGCCTAGGACTGCAACTCAGTAAGTGACCAATAAAAGTATTACAGAGTGATAAATCAGTATCGTGAAAAACAAAAATGTGGGCTTGGAAGCACCTGGGCTCACATCCAAGTTATGCTATGCACCAGTTGTGAGACCTGAGACACAGTTCCTTGGCAGTGAATGTATATAAAGGCACTTCATAATTGTGGGCAGCTCAGCCACACATAAAACAAAACCAGACTGGAATTATTCCAACTATGAGATAGTCATTTGCCTCGTGCTAGAGGAAATTCAGAGTGAATCAGTAAAGGCGCGAGTGACATCGTTAAGAACCAAGACTATTCTTTTGCTGCTGGTGCTTTCTTCAGTACTACCTCTTCATGTTTGCTGTCTGGTTACAGCATCATAATCTCCACACACAGACGTGCTCATAACTCCCAGAAAGAAGCTGTTGTAGAATATTATTTTAAGATGTGTTAACATTTGTTTATGCTGTGGAACATTTGCCTAATGATGCAAAGATGTATTGCATCCTTCTATGTCACATTTGTTTGACTCTGTGAAGCTGTGTTACTGTACCTGCCTAAAACACGTGATCGGTCTTATAAAGAGCTGAATGGCCAATAGCTAGGCAGGTGAGGGATGGGATAATTTAAGTCAAGAGAGCTGGTGAGAAACAAGCCAAGCTTCCACCGGGCGTTGGTGGCATACGCCTTTAATCCCAGCACTCGGAAGGCAGAGGCAGGTGGATCTCTGTGAGTTCGAGGCCAGCCTGGACTACAGAGTGAATTCCAGGACAGCCTCCAAAGCCACAGAGAAACCCTGTCTCGAAAAACCAAAAAAAAAAAAAAAAAAAAAAAAAAAAAAGGAAAAGAAACAAGCCAAGCTATGTGGCAGGCCCCTGTGATGATACATTATTTATGTTTTATTAAAGCTTGCCTGAGGATTCAGAAGGCAAAGTCATTGGAGCCAGGTGTACACCTTTCATCCCAGGAGTCAGAAGCTAGGAGGTGGTGGTGGTACACACCTTTAATCATAGGACTCAGGGTTAAGAGACAGAGGAATCTCTGTGAGTCCAAGGCCACCCAGATCTACACAAGATTGATCCAGTCCTAAAGAGAAACAGCTCACACAAAGATGCTCTCAGCACCTGGGATCACACGCCTTTAGTCCCAGAACTAGAGGGGTATAAGAGATAGGAGCAGGGTCTTCAGCAGTCATTATCAGGGATTCATACTCCAGCCACACCGAGGATAGGAAGACATTCAGTCTCAGGATTCTCCAGCCATGCTGAGAAGAGGTTACAGTCTGAGGTTTGGTGGAGCCAGGATCGCCTTTCATTCTGAGGTAGAGTAAGAGTTAGTAACCAGCTGCTTTGCTTTTCTGATCTTCAGCTTGAAGCTTGAACCCCAATATCTGTCTCTGGGCCTTTTATTTTTAATGCTACAGCCCCCCCCTCAAAAAAGAGTAATAAAACAACCAACAACAGGAAGCCCTTTGTCTCTCACTAAGAGCAATACGATTGTCATAAACTGTTCTTGTCCTGTCTGCCTACCCACTTCCCAGCCCCAGCAGATTTCCTGTTAGCTAGAATGGTACCTTATGCCAATGTCTTGAACTCTAGATGGCAAACTAGTAAAATTTCGTGCTGGACGCAGATGGATGAAGGCTCATTCTCTTGATTGTGCAAAGACAATGCTTTCCTTCCTAAGGGTTATCTGGATCTCCAGAAAGGGAACCCTTAAACAGAATCTGCAAAGAAATCATGGACAAATGTGGGACATGGTGTTGAAGGCTATGCATTGTTTTGAGACCCAGTCTGTAAAGGCTTGGACATGGGAGCCACCCAGGAGGCACTCTATAGCAGAGTGAGATTGTCTCCCTTTTGCGTGACTCTTCCTGGTTACTTGCCTGGTGCTGTTCTAGAACAAATGTCTTCTGAATCCTCTAAGGAGATGTTCATGTGTCCACCAAAAGCCGTGAAGTTGTCTATTCACAGTTACTCTCCCATGCAGCCATATCCAAATCCTAGATCTGCTGTGCAAGTATGTGGGGTAAGGACAGGTGGTCCAAACCGTTACTCTCTGTACAGGCTTTCCCAGGGAGGAATCTTATAAAGATGGTTGGTGAATAGAAGCACATCTCAAAAGTATCCCATAATTGGAGATAAACAACTGGTGTGTGTATGTGTGTGCGCGTGTGTGTGTGTTTGTGTGTGTATGTGTGTATTGTATACATACAAGAGGGGTAAGGAGGGATGGCACATGAGCCCATGCACATTTGGAGGCCAGAGGAGGGCATCAGGTATGTTCTATTCAGTGTCCACATGATCCCCTCCAGACACGGTCTCTCACTGAATCTACCTGTTAATCTGTGAGTCCCAGAGGGCCTCTTGCTGCCATGCCTCACCCACTCCTCAGGAACCTGTGCAGCCACACCCATCCTCTTACACGGTGCTGAGGATCCGAGCCTGGGCTCTCTTATCCACAGAGCCATCTCCCCAGTGCCACGGAAAATATCTTGAAGTGTGGGAATGTTATCATGAAAGAAGCGAACACATTTCATTAGGGGCAGGTGGCAGAGATGAAAAAAAGAATGGAATAGTGAAGGCATTCATGGAACAAGTCACATAATATGTTACGTATTAAGTGCAAATAGCATAGTGATGCAACTGTTTTTCAGGACATTGTTTGATGTGTGGAGGCAAAATGATAAGGAGGGATGGTAAAGGTAGCTCCCCCGAGCAACTTCCTTTGGATTCCCAAGGAGCCAGTAGGCTCTGATAGCCCGTTAGGTGCAGAAAAAACTAACTGGGAGAGGTTGCTTTGATTTTATTATATCTTGGAGATAAGTATTTGCAGCGGCAATTCCAAACATTAAGGAATGGGTTCATTGTCAACTTCAGCAAAAAGGCAGCCTTTGAAATGCCCGAAGGTCCAAGTGGCACAAGCTTTCCAGTGAGCTGGCAGGTTAATCATTAGCATCCCTTGAGAGTTGCACAAGTCCCTCTGCAAGAAACAGGAATCACACTGTGCATTCTTCACCTCTGACACACCAACCAACGCCCAAGTGTTTCACTACCAAGTAGTCTTTGCGTTTGCTCTTAGCATGCAGAGAACTATTCTGCATGAAGCAAGACCAGATTGTCACAAGGTGTATGACTGGATTGAGTGTGGTAGGTGGGAGATACCAAAAGTGAAGGATTCAAGGTCTCCCCAAACCCTGCTGCCAGGCAACATGTAAAGGGGAAAGTCTCAGATGGAATTTGGCCACATGTACCCATGTTTATTAACAAGCCAGCAAGGAAAGTCTGCTATAAATAAAAATGAAGGACCCCCCCCCTTGGCCACTGTTGTACATGCTCTGGATAGCAATCTCTCTAGCAGTGTGGAACAGTTAATTTCAGATGAATGTAAGATTCCAAAACCAACCAAACATGGGATTGGGTACTTGAGGTTCTGGCTTGACTCCAAAGGACATGGGTTTTCACGCCCTGTTCATGCCACAGCAAGACTATCATCTTACTGTGCCTTCAGCCAGTCCCCATATCCTGAGTACTAATAATTTCACCAATGAAGATTTATCTCGGCCCTCCATCACACCAATTCACAAATGCTTTTTAATTTAGGATAAAATGGTTGATGTGTGACAGAAGCCATCAGAGGAAGCAGCATTCTGGTAAGAGCTGTCCAAAGACTAACTGTGCTCTGAAAACAGTTGCCTTTCACCAGGCTACAGCATTTCATCTGTTTGCTTTGTCCCAACATCTAATGTGTAGCACTGTTTATGTGAAGGACACATGAAATATGGCACTTTAAGTGATGACTGATAGCTTATGCCAGTTGTCAATTGTCAAGACTGAGACTCACCCTAGAGACAGATCTCTGGGCATGTCTGGGAGGGTTGTCTTCACTAGGCCAACTGGGATGTAGGTGGCAGCTTTCCCCCCGGCCCTGGACTATGGAAAAGTGGAGATGGTTAGCTGAGCCGTCGGATTCATGGCTGTCTACTTCCTGACCACAGATGCGATGTGATCAGCCGCTTCACGTTCCTACCATCATGGCCTCTCTGCCGCGATGAATGGTATCCTCAGACTGTTGGGCAAGGTGACCCTTTGCTTCCATCCGTTGGTATCAAGTCTTTTGTCACAGCAAAGAAAAGAGTAATTAACAGTTCTATTATTACTTATTTGTCTTAATAAAGACATAAAGTCAATGATCTTATATAACTGAGTGGTTTTGTATTTTGTGAAATGAAAAGATAAGTTAGTTTGCTGTGTTAAATTGATAACTGATGTTTGATTACATATTTGACTTTTGAGTTTTACAATATAGTTTGGTTGATAGATGCTCCTAGCGTCCAAATGAAAATGAAATCCAATATTTCTGAGTTCAGATACCCACAGACAAACACTGAACTGAACCCCTGGAATCCAGTGTCAGAAAGGGAGAACTGATGGGTAAAGGAGTTAAGACTGGGCTGGTTTAACCCACAGAAACAGTTGACCTGAACAAGGGGGAGTGCTTGGACCCAAGATTGATGGCTGTGTGGAAAGCATGGGACTGACTCAGACTCCCTGAATGTGGGTGTCAGTGAGGAGGCCTAGGTAATCTATGGGCCCTTGGGTAGTATTTATCCCTGGCATACAAATAGACTTTGAGGTCTAGATGTCTTGACAGGATGAAACTCATTCTCTACAAATAGATGAAATCAGTTTGTACACATCAATCACACAAATCTAAAAAATAAATCTTAAAAAAATATGCTGGCTTCTACCTGGTGTTGTTAAATATGATCTTTTGGGGTTTATTGTTGAAGGTAAAGATAGCAGCATACTAATTGTCTTATCGTCTTTTGGCTATGTTTCAAGGTTGGTGACGGAAGGGCTAAGAAGCAAATGATGCTTTCTCTTTTGTTTTGAGATGGGCCACTGTGTGTCTCAGTCTAGCTCAAGCTCATTATCTTTATGGCTTTGCTTCCCAGGTGCTGGGATCACAGCCTACGGCCATGGCATGTGGCAGACTGGAGGGAAGGCCGAGGCAAGGGTATGAGGCAGCTGGTCATGTTGTATCCACGGTTAGCAGAGAAAAGGGTATTCAGAAAGCCACCTCCTTTCATTCGATCTAGGCCTCCAGCTCACTCACATTCAGGGCCCCTTCCGTGACATGATGTGGCAGTATCTTCACAGACATACCCAGTGGTACGTGTCCTAGGTCACTCCAGCTCCAAGTTATGAGTGAAGATTAACCATCCAGCATGGGGCAAGAGCAGCCTCATGAAGTCAGGAGTGTGACTGAGTGTTCTTCAAGCAGTAGAGACTCCGGGTGGGTGGACTCCAAGTGGCCCACAGGTTGTGTCTGTTGAAGATGAGATTTGAACTAAGCAAAGGAACTTTCCAGTGGAGGCTGATGTCATTGGCTGATCAGCAAGGGTCTGCCCTGTTGCTGAGATAAAACGCCACCACGACCAAGGCAAGTTACTGAAGAGGTTTGTGTGCGCTTACAGATCCAGTGGGTTGAGAGGCTACCATGGCAGGGAAACATGGCTGCAACTTGAGGGCGTGGTTGCATCAGCAGGAAGCTGAGAGCTGTCATTTCAACCATGAACGTGACAAAGAGAGAGGAAACTGGCAGTGGCTTGGGGCTTTTGGCCTCAAAGCCTATCTCCAGTGATGAGCTTCCTAAGCCTCCTTGTACTACCAACTGGGGACTAATTCAAATGCTGAAGACCCTGGAGGGCGTGTCTCATGCAAAACACCTAACAGACTGGATGCAGCAATAGGAGAGGATGGCTTTGCTCATTCTACAGTTGTCTTAAAATCATGTGCTTACTACTTCAGCATCAGGGAGGGAAACCATTCCTTCTATCCTCTGAGAATGCAATGGCCACATCTACTAAATAACAGGTAAGTTAGGACAGGAAAGCTGACTGAACTTTCTACGTCCACCAAGGCCACAAAGGAAAGGAACTCGAGGACTCAGAGCCCAGGTGCAATGTGCCAGGAGCCTGGTACCTGCCCTGAGGAGTTGGGAGTAGCACCTGGAGGTGAATCCACTGCACTGGGAAAAGATGAATGAAGTCTTAGGACTCACCATAGTTTGTACAACATGGCAGGACTTGGGGTCCAACTCTAGACTCTTCTCTTGAGATGCAGATAACCTTTCTGGGTAGATGAGACACTAGGAGGGTGATTTCTCAAGGCTCTGTCTAAAGGCAGATAAGGGGAACTCAGGAAATCCTTGTCTGCGTTTGTGTTTGGAATGTCTTCAACCCAGTGAGGGCCAAACTACAGGGACACACTTTGGGGTGGCCTTTCCCGAACTTTCTGACTAAATTTTTACAGAGCACAGCCTCCACAGCCAGTATAGACCTGGTCTCTATATTCTACAGGCTATGTGACCTTTGCCAAGTACTTAATCCCGCTGATCCTCCAATTCTTCCTCTGTAAAGGGAAGATTAGGCTAGTACTGCAATGGCTTGCTGAAAACCTTAGCCATGATTATCTGTGAGGTTAGAGATAGGCTCCTCTTTCATTTTTTTTTTTTGTGGAAGGTTTATCTGCAGTTCTTGTTTTCCTACAATTAATATACACTGCATTTGTAGATGGCTATGCTTTCCAAAAAGAACATGCTAATACTTTATGTAAACACGCATAACTGCAACTTATTAGCAGCTGCAAAGAAGGGCAAACAAGAGGATGGGTTGGGAAAACAGATACAGCCATTTTCTCCTCCTGTAAAGACTAGACACACACACTGTGGGAAAAGGGTGGAAATCTAAGGGTAAGAATATTTTATAATTTCTAAAAAGGAATGAAGACCTTAAAATCCTCCTTGTCGGTATGGAGGAAGCGGTGGAAAATAGGTGAGACACGAGAGAGGTGACATGGAGGGTAGGGGAGCTGGCGGCCGAGACTGATGAATTCAATCCCTTGGGCAGAAAGGGCTGGGGGAGACCTTTCTCTACTAAGACGTCTCCTGTATACACACACACTCTCTCTCTAAATTAATTAATTCATTTTTAAAAAGCCAAAAACGATTCTTCTTTTTTTAAACTCTAACTTGCATTTTCACACTCTCTCTTCCGTTCTTAGGGAGCTCATGCTGGTGTCTCAGGGTGCGTGGATGTAAACCTAAGGACAGAGTCGGTTGTCTCTCTCCACCATGGAGTCAAACTCAGGTCTTCAGGCTTAGTGTCAGGCCCCTCTACTCCCACCAGCCCTACCATTACTCTGGTTCCCTTTGAAAATGGCTCCGTCTCTGAAGTGATTTTATAAACACACAGGAAATTATGATCACCCAAGTTAAGAATGGTATACAAAAATAAAACAATGTCTCCCCTTTTTCGTTTTTTGGTGTTTTGAGGTAGGGTCTCATTCTGTAACCCAGGCTGGCCTGGAACCCACTATGTAGATCATGCTGGCCTCGGATGTGCCACAGTCCTAACGTCTTAGTGTCTCCAGTTCTGGGACGACTGACATGGACCACCACACCCAACTCAAATAAAATCTCTTAGTTGGCTTTCCCTTTGAAAGTTTAAGCGTTTTCCGTATCGGAAGTTGTTTTGGAGCATCTGCATGCCACATGCGTGGGGTTATGATGCTGTGATCTCGCCATGATTTCTAGACAATGGGCTTGCACTCTGCAGTGCCTAATGCAGCCCTCGGCTAATGCACATGCGACTGGGTTAGACCACAACCGTGAAAGGTCAACCAGAGTGAAGTCAGTTTAGCAGTGTGTAACACAAAGACCAACCGCTCAATGCTCCACCAGAGAACTAAATGCTGTAGCTCACCCTCTAATAATGTAAAGCATGTCTCGTGTGTGTGTGTGTGTGTGTGTGGTGTGTGTGTGTGTGTGTGTGTGGTGTGTGTGTGTGTGTGTGGTGTGTGTGTGTGTGTGGTGTGTGTGTGTGTGTGTGTGTGTGTGTGTGGTGTGTGTGTGTGTGGTGTGTGTGTGTGTGTGTGTGTGTGTGTGTGTAATGCTTCCCTTTGCCATGGTGAGGGGTTACAGTTAGGCTGAATCCTAAAGCAGTGGGATCGTTGTTTTTATTTTTCCTAGTTTTTCTGTTTAAGACTTCCACTTGTCTTGCTGTTGTTATTTCATTTTGTTTGTGGTTTTGTTTTTGCTCTTTCTTCCTTTCTTCCTCCCTTCCCCACTCCCTCCCTCCCTCCCCCCTCCCTCCCTCCCTTCCTTCCTTCCTTTCCCTTTGACAAGTTTTTCCATGACTGGCCTGAAAGCTATCAAAAGACTAGCTGGGACAGCCAGGAAACCCAAGGATCCATCTCCCTCCTCCTCCTCCTAGAGCTGAGATCACAAGCCAGTGCCACCAGGCCTGGCTTCATGGGCGTGGTTTCTGGGGTCCAGCTCAGGCTTTCCTGCATGCAGGGTAATCAGCTGTGCAGTCTCCCCAGGCTTCTTGGGGTGGTTTGACCTTTGCCTGCTTTAGCAAATGGAGGAGAGAGCGCATCTGCCACACACAGGAGGACTGGACAGACTTAGGGAAAATGAAGAAGACAGCGATCGAGCGAGGAACGGGGTCACTTCTCCTTTCTCAGGAAAGGGAAGTAGCATTGCATTGCCCCTGCTGAAAGCTTATCTGCCCAGATCTCTGTCTGGTTGCATAATGCTTTCCCCCGGGGTTCCGAAATAACTAGGTCCCTGAGGTCACTTGTCATTTGATTCCTTGTTACCTCATGTGTTCACTTAGCAAACACATGCCTGACTACACACCTGTGATGGCTTCAGTGTGGAAATGTAGTGGAAAGAAAAGTATGTAGCGCCTGCCCTCAGATATTTAGAGTTGAGGGAGGAATGTGACTGGGAACTGATTAGTGAGAACTCATTATGGAATCCAGCTAGAGTAAGGGCTGTAAAAGATACCAGCATGGTGGGTAGATGCGAGCCTGTAACCTCAGCGGTGGGGAGGTGGAGGCATAGGATCCAGACTCATAGAAGGCAATGGGCTGGAGAGATAGATCAGCGATTAAGAGCACTTGTTCTTATAGAGACCTGGATTCCTAGCTCTTACTTACACGGTCACCTCCTGGACCTAGTGGCTTGCAGCCTTTGGTGACTGTAGTTCCTGGAGATCTGGCGTCCTCTTATAACCTCTTCTGCAACAGGGGCACGCACGGTTAAGCACATACGAGAAGTGAAGGCAAAAGGCGCACACATAAACCTTTAAAAACAAGCCAGGGGACGCGATTGAAACAGACACCGGATGTGGACCTCGGCCTAAACGTGCCCCACACATGCACACACACACACACACACACAAGGCACACGCAGAGCTCGGGTAAAGCAGGGATTGTCTTTGGAAACCGTGGTCACCCCAGGAAGAAGGGAAATTTGAGGGCATGTACTGTCTTCCCACTGACAGTCTTTCTACCTTCAGTCAGGTATTTTGGTCCCTCAGTCGAATTATGGAAGAGCGATCAATGGAAAGCAGGAAGCAGACCCCACCACCAAAGACACTTTCATTCCTAGGTTCCGGCCTCACAGGCAATGTCCTGAAAATATCTCCACCGCGATCACATGGGTGACTATTTGGCTTCACCCAGCAGACCACGCCCAGGAAATGGCTCTTCCAATGGGAGGCTCTACCCAGGTGCTCATTAAAAATGCAGACACTCCCGGCCCAGACCTACTGAACCAGAACCTGCATTTTAGCTGAATTCACAACCCAAGATGATTAATACGCATACAGAAGTCTGAGACTAACCCCTGGGTTTTTGCCTCAACAGTGAGAAAACAGTCCTTTACAACGTGATCGAGCATGCGTGTACATAAAACTGAAACCAAGCTCTCGTGAAGCAGTGCTTACCGTTATTTTTATGAGGGAAAACAATGTGTCGAGGACTCTGGAGCTCCGTTTCCGAGCCCCCTTCTTGTTCTCAGTAGAATTATGAAGGCCCTGGGAGCAGTGCCTAGAAGGTGTGGGGAGGGCTTGGTGGAGTATCAAGAAAAGTGGTATAAGCACTTTCTAGCTTGTTTTGGGAAACGTGCGCTTAGTCACTTCTGAGTTTGAACTTGGAGCCTGGACCTGGAGGGCGGGGGGTGCGTGGGAGGGCTGCGAGGGGGCAGCTGAAAGTTTGCAGAGTCCTTGATTGGCGGCAGGAGGACTGCAGGGGCTGGAAGCTGGGGAGGGCTGGGGCTGGAAGGCTCTCCGGCGGCGAGAGGTCCTGCCCAGCTGTTGGCGAGGAGTTTCCTGTTTCCCTCCCGGCGCCCGGGTAAAGTTGATGAGTGAGTCACTCGCGCGCACCGACCGACGACACCCCCCGTGCGCGCACACGCTCGCCTGGGGGACGGAGCCCCAGCCTCCTGCGCAGCTCTCCTCGGCCGCCGGGGGCCTCCTCCGGGCCTCCAAGCTCCCCGGATCGCCGGCCACATCTGGCCCGCACCTCTGCCCCGCGCGCTCGGGGCGGCCCAGGCACCCTGAGAGGACGAAGAGTCAAGGCGCAACCCGGGGTCCCTGAGGCTCGGTTCGCGGCGCCCCAGGGGCCGGTCTATGACGAGCGACGGGGGCTACCATGGGTCGGGGGCTGCTCCGGGGCCTGTGGCCGCTGCACATCGTCCTGTGGACGCGCATCGCCAGCACGATCCCGCCGCACGTTCCCAAGTCGGGTGAGTGAGTGGCCAGGGCGCGACGCTGGGGGTCCACTAGGGCTCCTCTGCCCTCCTCCGACCCCCAGGGCAGCGACTGACAGTCGGCCGCGGGTCCCGGCGAGAGGGCGGAAACGGGAAGTTTGTAGCGGCCCGAGTCGTCCCAGGCCCGCGGCGGGGATCGGAGAAGATCTCTAGCAAAAGAGGACAGTTCACTTGCGGGAGACATGGGGACGCTCCTGACCGCTTTGTGCGAGCACGAATGGTTAGGGCGGCAGCGAGGGCCTGCACCCCCGGAAAGGGAAGTTTGAGAAGTTAGGGCTCGGAGGAGTCGCGGCAGGGGACTGGCCGCCCAGCTGTTGCACACCTGGGCCGGGTACTGCCCTAGACACCCCGACTGAACCAGACTCTCAGTCCTCAGTTCTACCGCCTCGGGAGGGATCCTGGGCCCCGACTCACTGGAAACAAGTTTGAGAAAAGAACTGATTTCAAAGGGCTGTCATCTATTCCCCTGGCCTGCGGGGATGGGGACTCCATGAGGGTGGTCAGCTTGATGGTTTAGAGTAATTTACCACGTTCCTATAGAGTGCTGCACCCCAGGGTGGTGCCTGGAGTTTAAGATCTCAGCAGTTGTCATTCGGTGGAAACACTAACCCAGGATGCCCACCAGGTTCCATCGCAGGGGCCACAGTCAAGAAAGAAAGGAAGGAACCAGGACTCCTTCCTAAGGACTTGCCTGGGAAGTGCACAATCTCTGACGTATTTACTCAGAAGTTAGAATTGTTGCAGCTATTTGTGGTCAGGACCACTATTTGGGCAAGTTACATGACTCTGGGCCTCAGTTTCCCCCTTTGTACATCTCCGTGGTTCAGTTTGTGTAAGCTTGGCATTTTTTTCATCATCGGCTTCCCATGCCCTTCTCTAGTGATTTCGGTGACTAGGACATGGCCAGGGCCCCTTTTGGGTGAGGGAGATCTTCGCACATGTCAGAGTAGATGAGGCGGTTTTAAGCATTAAAGATCCCATTGCAAACAGCAGTGGAGCATTTCAGAAGGGACGAGCCACACAAAGCAAAACAGCGAAACTCCCAAGAGGGTTTTAGTTCTGCAGTTTCTTAAAAGTCTGCTTTGGTTTTGCTGGTCTCCATTTAAGCTGCAGCTCCAGAAAGTTAAGCCTCTCTGATGTTGCCCCAGCCTTGATTGGAGACTTGGCTCCATGGATAAGGACGTTTGCTGTGCAAGCGTGATGAGCTGAGTTGAAATCCACATATCAATGTACAAAGTTGGGTGTGGTTCCTTGTCAACCCAGTGGTCGTGGGAGAAGACTGGAAGCCCTTTAGAAACTGATGGGCGCCAGCCTGACTGTAGGTTGGGAGAGAGACCCTGACTCAAGGGAACCATGTGGAGACTGCTAAAGCAGAACGCCTGATATCCTCCTCCCCCCCCCCCACACACATACATCCTCCCCCCAACACACATAAAGATGAAAAATGTTTTAAAAAGAGATGAAAAGAAAACTTGCTGGATTTAGCTGATGACCATCACACATGACACCCATCCCTTTCTGTGTACAAAAAAAAAAAAAAAAAAGAATTTGCTTTAGACTGGGAAGGAGAAAAACTCAGGAGGCCCGGATTTAAGTTTTGTTTACAAGATTAAGATTTGTGATTTTTCAAATTCCGGGCTCTGAGTCATTTACACACACAGTTTTAAGCCATTAGCTGATGGGCCTGGTGGGTCTTTTTAATATGGGCTTTAAATAGTTTTATGAAACTGGGGGGCTCTGCACATTTCTGTGGAATGGCCTTTCCAGAGCCTTTGAATAATTAATTTTGAGTCCAACCCACGTGGTCAAAGTTCTCAAAGATGGTTTAGAGTTGGAAGACAGGTCCCAGGGAGTGGCTGCGTGGACTTCATTCTGCTTGCTTCTTTTCCACAGGAGGGAAGGGTGGCAGAATGTCTCTGATATGGGTGGTAAACTGTGAGAACTGTTTTCAAGATAATCTAATGCAAGATAGGATGCGAGGGAACTAGAGATTGTTTACCAAGTCCTAGTCAGTCCTTAAAAGAAAATTAAATTCAACCCATCTTATGCTTACCAGCCTGCCAGACGAGCAAGCGATTTCAGCACAAGGCAAATTTACACTAATATCTAATCTATCTGTCTATCTATCTGTCTGTCTATCTATCTATCTGTCTGTCTGTCTATTATGTATCTATCACTTTTTTCTTGTGTGCATCTGTGGGTGTTACACGTGAGTGCTGGAATACAGTGGGCGCGCACTTGGGCGCTCATGGAGACCACAGGTTGACATCCGCTATCTTCTTTAGTGGCTGCCCCTCATTTGCTCAGGCTTGTTTCTTTGACGGTGCAGGGTGCAGGGCTGCTAACTGAACCCAGAGTGTTGGTTTGTCCTGCTAGCCAGCTTGCCTTGGGGACCGCAGTCTCTGCCTCCTGGGTGCTGACACTGCAGGTAACCATCTTGGCTATTTATGTAGATGCTGGGGATCTGAATTAAGGTCCCTAGACTTTCAAAACAAGTGCTTTATGAGCTGAGCCAAGAAATACACTTAGATAAGTTTTAATTTTAAATAGTGCTTTTAAAATTTGTGTGTGTGTGTGTGTGTGTGTGTGTGTGTGCGCGCTCGCGCGCGCGCGCGCATGCGAGCGCCCACACGCGTGCGTGTCTGCACTGTCAGAAGACGGCTTTGGGAGTTGGTCCTTGTCCTCTACCATGCAAGACCCAAGACCTCAGATCTTGGAACTTGGCTGCAAGCCCCTGGACTTGTTGAGCCCTCCTGCAGCCTTCAAAAATTAAAAAATTTGTTTTTGATGTTTTACTTTCACACTTGTAACCTTCAAAATCAGAAATGACTTTTAGAGGAAAACACACCTGGCAAGCTCCAGACCTCAGAAAACATGGCTTTCATTTCTTAGGTGCCTACAGAAGGTTCCTTGGTCCAGTGACCCAGGGATCACTGGTCCTGACAGGCTCTTTAAGGTCCAACTCACCTTGTCCAGGTCGGGGACCAGCAGTCTTTGTGTCCTGGAGATTGCTCTCTGGGCCTGCTTTCCTCCCACCCCCATAAGGTGCATTTTCACCTCCAGGGCACTTCCTTTAATGACGTCTTATTTTTAACAATTGGCTTTAATTTGGTGCCTCTGTTTTGACTTAGCGCCCCACATTGAGGACCCCTTATTAAATGCCCACCCGCCATAGGTCCTCCAGGACATCCATATCTGTCCTACCATCAAGCTGCATCCTTTACAGTTTTCTTTACGCGTATAAATTTTACATTAAATTTTGTTTTTATTTATTTCATGTGTGTGTGTGTGTGTGTGTGTGTGTGTGTTTGTGAGGCAGCTGTGTGTGTGTGTGAGACAAATAGACAAGATAGTGCACTGAATACAGATGCCCATGGAGACCAGGGGGTGTTGCATCCCCTGGAGCTGGAGTTACAGATGATTGCGAGCCTTCCAGTGAAGATGTTGGGAGTGGAATCCAAATCCTCTGCAACAGCAGAATGTGATCCCAACAGTGCAATGAGCTCTCCAGCCCCTGGGAACGGCTCTATTTCCTGAACATTAATGGCACCTCATTAATGCTATCTTCCAAAGTGGCTTATTATTCTTCTTTCTTCACAGTATTTATTGAAAATATCCTGAGGCAGCAGTTCTCAACCAGTGGGTCCTGACCAAGCCCCTTCCCAGGGATCCCATCTCAGATAGCCTGCACATCAGATACTTACATTACCATTCATAACAGTAGCAAAACTGCAGTTATGAAGCAGCAAGGAAATAACTTTATGGTTGGGGTCACCACACACGAGGAACTGTACTACAAGGTGACAGCATCAGGAAGGTGGAGAACCGCTGCTCTAGAGGGATGCTAAGACCCAGAGGACCCTGCCCCAGCTGAGTGGGACAGACCCATTCTTACTCACTTTGTGTCTCTGAGCTCGTGCCTGCACTGTGTCACAGACAGCGCCAGCACGGTGGGGGCTAGAACATCGCCACGTCTCCCACGCTCCAGATCCCTTGCTGAGTGCACCCGGAGGGCGCACACGCTAGAGATTTCCTCCCCGGTGCCTTTGTGTGTTCTTACTTCACCATCTCTGTCTGGTTCCAGGCAGAAGACCTGCAGTCCTCATTGGTTCCTGTTACACAAGCTGGACCAAGTCTGCCCCGGCCATCTTTCTGCTGGATGGGCCTGAGGTAGAATGAGGACTACACACCGTAGACCAGGCTGTCTTGTTTTCCAGCTTTGTCTCTCCCTTACTGGCTGTGTAGACTGTGAGTCCTTTGCACTCACCGTGCAAAACTGGGATGATAGACTCGAGGTAGGGTGGGATAAAATAATACTTCCAAGTGCTTAGCTCCGTGTTCACGCCCCGCAGACAACGGGTCTGGTCGTTATTAACTCTCCAGTCACACCTGACAAAGGCCCCCACTGACCCTGTTCAGTCTGACTTTGCATCCTACCAAGGCCTGCAGCGTCCCAGGCCGCGATCCAGGCGGCTGTCCCTCCATTCACTTTCTGCTGCCTCTCTTGGGAAGTCCTGTCCGACTACGTTTTCCCACCTTTGAAGACCTACCTACCTTGGACCTCATAAGGAAGCCTGCTTTGGGTGTGCCAGGTGGGCCAGTTGTCCCCTCCTCCGCCCTCTCTCTGCTCCCAACAGTCATCTTTGTGTGATTCCCTGGTCCACTGAGCCTGGCAGTCCCCTCAAAGGCAAGCAAGGTCTGTTACTCAGAGACCGGTCTCCAGGGTCACCCCAAGCTGACACATCATTTTCCCAGGAAGGGCTGAGCAGAGCCCTCTTCATCCTGCTGGGAAAGTGTGACTGGGGCATGGTCTTTGCTACCCAGGCAGTCCCTGCTGTGGTGGCTTTGGTCTTGAGTGGTTGGATATCTGATCAGTGAGGCTTTGCAGCACCTGCAGTTGAGCCCAGAGCTTTGGGTATGCCCTATCCCTCTCTCTCCTGCCCCAGTCCACCTTCAATCCCCTGGGCTAAAGCAGC